GCCACCGAACTTCATCTTGAATGCATCGGTGAATCGAAACAACATCCTCTGTAAGCCGATCCACCAGCCCACGGTTATCCAACTCCGTAACCATCTTTGTTTTAGTCTCCTTGAACTGGGAAGACCTCTTCCAAGGCATCCACCCAGAAGCTTTGTGGTCCAAAAAGTCCAATACAATCCCCAACTCGATGTAGTCTGGGTCATCCATCACAGCACAGCAAGCAAGCAGCTGCCAAGCATTCGGTAGTTGTTGTTGCACTTGCTCGATGGACGGAGAAAAACAGGCGAAGTTGTCCTCTTCATACTGGTCCTCATCGGCAATCTTCGGCTGTTGGGGCTGTTGAGATTGTGCTCGTTCTGTTTGCCGTTTGGCCCGTGCATCCTGAACTAGCTTATGGTACTCCTGTGCTGACACTTTGGCGTTCTCTCTCAAGTAACGCACGGCGACTTTGACGTGCAACGGGATCCGGTTGCAAAAACGGGCCAGTTCCTGTGCGTCGTTCTCCGATACAGCAAAATCGTCCGATCGAACGTCGCTCAATGCATTCATGATGTACTGCACCGTTTTCTTTCCATCGGGGATGGGAACTAGAAGGCATCTTCTCGGAGAACCTGTGACAGCGTTTGCAACAGGGCTCTTGCGCGTTGTAACCAAAATCTGAATGTCTTGGCCATGCAGATTCGAAAGGATTTCGTCAATGTCCTTCGTCTCCTCGACGTTATCCAAAACAATGAAAGACGGCTTTCTGGCAGAAGGGGCGTCTTTGAGCTTCGAAGCCAATTTGCAAAGAGTTGGGGATCGTCCTTCCACGCCAAGAACCCACTTCGTGTAACGAACAAAGGACTGCAACGCGTTCTCTTTGGTGTCCGCCTTGATCCATCCCACGTTGTCGCCTCTCTCCTGCCGCATCCAGCAATACTTCACAGCGATAAATGTCTTGCCAAACCCGCCAGCGCCCCAGATCGCACATATCACTGCTGGAGAATATTTCGTCGATCTTCTTCCAATCCGAGTCGCGATCGATCCAGTATGCGTTCACACCGCGATTGGGTTTGTCGATTTTCAACACCAAAGGATCAATCGAACCAAAGATTTTTGTCGAACAGGAACTAGTTGATGGCTGCGATGGCAATTCGACGGAAGGCAACGCTTTTGCAAGTGCACTCTTGATGCGACCGTAGAGCTCCTCCATCTTTTCCACCCACTTGTTTGATCTGGTTGGAATGTTGATGAGCGAGATGTAAAGTGTTCCAGCGGTGATCACATCCGTTGATGTGAACGGTCCATCGTCCAACCGTAAGGGAATGATTGGTTTTTTCTTATCGGCGCTGAAGTTGATTTCCCGTTGACAATTGGGTGAAACCTGATGAATCATTGATTGTTCCATTTTCAGTACCGTTCTGTCGATTCAAAAGACCTCCAAACCAAAAAAATAACTGGCAGAAGAGCTTACTTACATCGTATGCACCGGTCATGAATGCACAAACGATGGCACTCTTCGTGAGCCCGTCGTGCATGCCGTTGTAAATGTTATCACCCATGTTTCTGATGTCAATCCACACAAGTACTCCTTCACTGCTATAACAGTCGCTTGCGAATTCCACCTGTCGATGAAAAACAAAGTTGTAGGAAATAATTCAAAATAGGATCCCAAGGCAGCGAAATGATATTGGCGATGAACACTTACTGGTAACTCAGCATTGCATGAAATTCAAACCCCGCTTCTTGCAGGGCTGACTGCTCGATGATGTTCACGGCGCCGGTAGGATCCATGACGGTTAGCGTACTTTGATAATTTTGAAATATCTTGGTATAAGGGCAAATACAGCATGGGCCTGGGTGGCACATCCAATTATTTAGGGCTTGAGTGACCTGTCAAACGGTGGGAGGCGTTTTACGGGCCACCCCATCACAAGCCGTTCGACCAGGGTCTCACTGCCCCCCTCCTTCACCTTCGTTCAGCCCCCCCACATCTGATATTCACATTCTTGTGTATCTGGAATGCATCCACCAAATAACCCGAGAGGGGATCCATACTCAGAACACACGGGATTAAGTGGGTTTCGAACTGGTGGTGTAATGAGATGCCAAGTGCGGTTCGAATTCAACTTTTGTGCGGTATGCAAAATGAAATTGTTCCCACAATCAGAAATCTTCTCCATTATTCTACCTTTTCTTTTTCCACTTTTGAGCCTTGTTGTTGCCAGTGGGGGAGAGGGCCCCACACGAGATCGCACCGCGTGCAATGTACTTCCACGCGTCGCGGATCAACCCCAAAAAAGTAGAGAATGGCCATTGTGAGCGGTTTTAGCTCCCTCTATCGCGCTGGTCAACTCAGACTCTATACCCCTCTTCTGGTTGTTTACGGTTTTCCCTCTTTCTGGAAGGACTTCAAAAAGGTTTTGGGATGGAAACCTGCGATTGAATCAACCTCCCACTTTTGCACTTGACCTCAACTCGTTTGTTGCGTGTGCATGCGATCGCCATCAGTGCTCCAGCTTCCCAACTCGACACTCCTCTCAGTCTATTTGCACCAGTAAACCAGCAGAGTACCTCGGTACGTTTTTGCGGAGCGATGTCCGACGATTCCCAACATGTGCGCCCACCCAAGATGAATTCCTCCGAATTCAGCACTGACAAAACATCAACCCAAAAACCACCAATTCGAACTCGTGCACGTATTCAGACGAAATTGTGTATATTTGTTTTCGTTTCTTTTGCTTCATTACTCCCGAAACTTTTGCACAAGTTTCTAAGGGACACTTCAAACTTTCTTGTCAGCCGGACCACATAAAGACGTTGGGGAAGAAGAAAACTATGGCTATGAAGACGAAAAGCACCACGGCTCCGAGAAGCATTACAACGTGAAGAAATACACTACTATGGCTACTATGGCTACTATGGTACGCTTATGGTCATGATGAAAAGAAGAAACACTTCAAGCGAATGCGCAGATATGGAACAAAAATCTTTATCTGCTGAATGTATGTGAGACGATTTCTCGTCATTCTCCTACATTTCGAGCTGCTGACATTGCTGCTAACCGACCGAAAAGGAAGTCAACAGAAAAGTCAACAACCGACGTCCGCACTCTTGGCCTCAAATATATGGAATTCGTGCCGATTCGTGCAGTGGACTTGCAACTGCCATCTTTCTTTCGTAGGGAAGCGGCCCAGGCGATTGGGTGTGTTGCGAAGAAAATCGCGATCGTCCAGGAATCTTGTTTATGTTAGAGTCAGATCAACAAACCAACTGAAACCGCAAATATTCGTTGGGGTCCTTACCACCCCGAAACAGCAACCACGATTGCATCAAATCATAACGCTTAAGCTTGACGTATTATATGGAGCCAGAAATGTCTGATGGGAATAAATCTTGCACACTTTCGTATTTTCCATTGCATCTTGGACGTGATTGATATCTCCGGCGTCAGGGCGCTAGACGTTGGTTAAGAGCGATACTTGTCTCGAAAGACAGAACCCAAAGTCGCATTTTTCCGCAACTATCAAAATGCACATATGGGAGGTCCGTACTTGGGGTTTTTTTCAATCGAAAGTCTTAACTGATCACAGCCAACCCACAGATCTGAGTTGCAAGCAAAGTTTTTTGGATCTAGAAAAAAAACGAAGACCAAAAACAATACAAGGAGAAGATTCCAGGTTTCCGTTCGAGGTTGAAATCGAACAGCATTTTCGTGATCAGTTGAACCAGTCACACACGGAATGGAATGATTCCACAAGTAACAGAACTACCTTTTCAACATTCAGACATTAGACGCAGAACGATCAAGGTAAGGATAAGGGTGAATGGGAGATGTGTGATCTGTAGTTGGTGAAAGTATAAGCCGAAATCGCTGTGATATACGAGGCATAACCGATCTTGCCCGATGTTTGAGAAAGTACTAAAGAGGCCGATCGACAGCATCCGACCATCACATCCATTATAATCTTACCTCAATGCATTCTGACATTCGAAAGTTGAGATTTACCGCTGGAGAGTCGAACTATCTTTCTGGTTACAAAGAGGGCCGAACATTATCTCCAAAGCATTCCACTGCCAGTCCGCCGCACTACTTTCTAAACGCGTCCGAGTTTTCTTCCAGTGGCAGCTTTTGTTCCTGCGTCGGCAAGATGGTTGACTGAGTCTCCTCAAAGAAAATGATGCCTCGGCGATGAAAGTCAATCAACCCTCGTGAAGAGAGGAAAACAAAATACGCGGGACTACTAAACCGACTCTGATGCATTGGCGCAAGGATGTTTGTATACCTTCAAGTCGAAGGACCCAAACCTTTGGCTCGAGAAAACGAGGTAAAATATCGACCATAGATTGCCGAATCATGCATGCCTTGATACAACGTTACCGTAACAGCAGGGTAACGAAGAAGCTATGTTACATCGACTTTGAAATAATGTGCTCCGAGTCGGCTTTCTAAGCACGCCAGAGGAAAATACCAAATATCCACTTCCTTCAGAAACGCACAGCGGAGTAAAATTGTTACAGCAATTCCTGTGCTCAAACGCCCAGTTGGTTCATGAAACGACAACCGGAACCAGCCAAGAGCAAAGCTGAGCAAGGATCACATCGTAGCGTTAACTGGCCTGCCAGAAGGGAATGTGTTTCTGAACATTGACACGAAACGGCAGAAACTGGCATGATGTTTCGAGAATCGAGCCTATTGAAAAAGCTGTGTCTGAGAGACTTTTTCTTTTCTCCATCTCATATTGGTGCACGGATGCAAAATGACGCACGCATGAAATCAAGAAAAGACCAGTCTGAAAACTGCAACCGGGTAGTCAATAGGAACCAAAAACATGAAATATAAGCAAATATCTAATCGTGGCCGCCATGGAAGCAAAGTAGGAACAATTAGGTAAACAAACGGGCCATGGAAGCACCGTAGGGACAATTAAGTAAACAAACGGGCCGGGAAGCAACGTAGGGGCAATTAAGTAAACAAACGGGCAGGCGGGAGTAAAAGGGACTGCTCATCCGTAAAAAGTCCGGCCTCCCGGAGTCGAACCAGGGACCTACAGATGTCGGTGTTGTTTGTCCAACTCTACAGTCTGCCGCTACTACCAACTGAGCTAAGGCCGGTGAAAATTCATGTGACCGTGCAAATACAGAACCATTATAACAAAAAATTCTTCCACTGAAAACTTTTCCATGGCCTCATAGAAATCCTCTTATCCGTCTGAAGCTGATCTCTACCTTTGATGTGAGTTAGTTACCTCAAACTCCAACCCTCCAAGAAAGAAACGGGGGCAAAACAGGACGTGTGTGCTCCCTTTCCATCTTTCCTCATATCTACATAAACCCACAGTGTCACCTCAAAACCCATTACAACAAGTATCGTTCATTCCATTCAATCAACCAAACCCCCTCAAATTAAATCCCCTTCCTCCTCTCCTTCTCCATGACCCCCTCAAAAACCCACCCCCCCGGGCGCCCCCCCCCACCCAAATAACCAACCCGCCCCCCAAAACCACCGCTCCACCTCCACAATCTACCCCGGCGGGAGCGCCCCCCCCGGGGGGCGGTTGTGCGG